ATGTGTATCATTCTATTTCCATCCATAAGCAAAGCAAGAGTTAATTCTTAATTTTGTTGAAGTACTAAGTGGGAAGCTAGGTCATGCATAAATCCTCATTGTGCTAGGTGCTGTACAAGCAAAGAATTAAAATGATCCCAGTCTCAAGGCTTCTCTGTTAGTAGCTTGTGTCATAATTAAATTTTGCTAGGACACTTTAAAATTGCCCTTCCTCACAAGTGATATATCCATGTACATTTATACCTTCATAATAAAAGAGAGAACCTGCATGTTTTTATTATTGATAATAAACCAGAAAATATAATACAATTTTCCAAGTAACTTGGATATAGCAATTGGAATATGCAGGGGTGAAGGAAAGGATCTTTGTTTCTTGTGTACTTTTGAGTTATATACACTTAAAGTTGTCCACTTTATAGAAGAAGGAAGAAGTATTTGTTGTGAAAATTGGCTCTCACAGAGCACACTGAATTCAGGTGGAGAGTACAGAGCAGGAGCTGGTGCTCTTTTAAGAATCTAATATTGTGTCTTCATGAATAAAGCTCTAGCAGTAAAGATAAGAGAAGAAAATACAGCAACTGTGTGATATATTAGCAGAATGTTTTACAAAGTCCCCCACAAAGCATCCGCTGCTCTTGAAAAGCCTAACCAGCCCAAGTGAGAAACTATTCACAAATTTAGTATTCAGATTACATACGCTGCCTTTTCAACTGCGCTCTGTACAATGAATGCCTGTACAACTACAGTAACAGACACAGATCTACAGTTTCTGTGGCCTTTGAGCTATTATGAGTATTGTGCCTCTCCATAAATTACATCTGCATGTCCTGAAAATACCAACTGTTTTAATAGGAATTAATCTATAGGCTTTTATCCTGGTGAAATACAAGGGGTACAGTATGTTGTATCCCTTTTAAAATTAATAGAGTATACTCTGAAGATATTAAAGTATGTTCATTATTTTCTTTATAGGTCTCTTTATTGATGCATGTAAGCATAAAACAGTGCTTTATTGTAGTAGAGAGGAGGAGATGGGCTAATGAATGGATTAGTGCTTATATGGTTTTTAGATTGCCCAACACACAGTTAAGTAAAGAAAGGTCTATGTTAGTCCTCTTCAAAATATATTGGGATTTGATTCAGTTTGCCTTCAGAGTGCCCCTTCTGTGGGTAGAGAGGAGAGGGATCAGTCTAAAGGCAAGAAAGCTGATGCAGGGGTCTGCTGCTCTGCAGTGTTCAGAGCTGTCCAAGGCAACAGGGTGTTAGATAAATCCAAATAAAGATGGAGCTTTTTCTGCGATGAACTACTATTTATGTGAATACCTAATATAAGATTTTTGGGAGTGAACTCCTAGAATACCTTGACCTTGTACAGGCATATAAAAAAGAAAGATTAGATAATTTAAGCTGGCATTTACATTAAAGCATTATGGTTGCCTTAAGTAGTAATTCTCCACGTGCATGTGCATAGGTATACATACATATGGGTTAAATGTTTTAATATTTTGCTGAAAACACGCTGAGCTCATCACTGACCTATCAAATCAAAGCTGGTTACTGAGAAGCGATGAGGAATTCAATTCTTCTCCCAGAGTCCCTGTTTGATGAGAAAACTCTGTTATCTCCAGCACCCAGGAGAACTTGGGCCCATGGAGACTGACCAAATGCCTGGAGGGGCATCACAGGTCTCAAGAGTTAGGTGCCTGTCAGCACAGGCTGTGATCCGCGGGGCAGCTCGGCTTGCTGGCCGGCGAAGGCTGCTTGGGTCTCGCCGTGGAAATTCAGTCTTTTTGGCCGATGGAAATGGAAGGGGCAGGGGCTGCCCACCAGCTTCACAGGAGCTCCAGAAATAGCTCTTGCAGAGGTGTGTTGAAGTGACGCCTATAACATAGCAGAAGTCCACGGCAGAGCTGGGAATCGCTCTCGGGGCGTTGCTCGGCAGAAAAAAACCCTCTCCTTGCGTTATTCACCGCATTTCAGAATTGGAGAACTGAAACGTGGCGAAATAATGACTTGGCTGAAATTTGAAATTACACGGAGGACCTCTGACTGTGGTTGGATGTGAACCCTGCTGTCCTGATCCCCAAACCAGTGCCTGGGCCTCAAGATGATGGCAGCTGCTCTGCCGAGGACCGTTTGGGCACAGGTGTGTGGTTGAGGTAAATCACTGTGGAGCTCTTGCTGCAGACCCCAAGCCGCATCTTGCATTGAAGCCAGTGACTCACCCCCATGTTGCTGTAGTGAAGATGCGCTCATCTCTGCAGTCCTTGGAGTTAAGCAGCTGATTTTAAAGGCAAACCCTTTTACTTTATTCCCCGTCCCTTACTTTTCCTTTGGTCACTCCTCCTTGTTTTCACAGCTTTATTCGGTTTTGAAAGCTTATGGAGCAGCAGGATTAAAAAATCAGAAATAATTACTGTAGAGGATGGGTCTGGCTTTTCCCACCAGCCTCCATGGTTCAAGCAGGTTCCAGCAGCTTTGGGAGAAAAGCTGTTAGCTATTAAATTATTACCTGTAAGGAGAGCCAGCTGGAAGCTTTCAGTTTTCAACATTTTGATGAAAAGCACCATAAAAATCTTGACAACAAGAGTTGCAGCATTTCAGTGACATGTTTTGCATTTGCCCCTGCTTTTCAATGGTCTGTAAAAGTGATCAAAGGCTTCAAAATGCTGCTGAGATCCGCTTCTCAGGAATCTTGACCCCCCAAAATGAAGAGGGGGGAAAAAAAAAAAAAAAAAAGAAATAATAATAAAAAGGCAAACCCCAAAGTGTGCACTGTTGAGTGAATTCATTTGGACAGCTTTTGGGAAGTCACTTTGCATCTGGAGGAGAATGTCCACAAGGAGAGTTATTCCGGCATAAAGTGTTACGGTATAATTACACAGCTATAGCTATGCCAGTCTATTTTCTGATGTAGGCAAGCCAAGTCTAGTTGTTGAGACGTAGGCGTGGGAAACAAGAAGTCTGCTTTCTAGGCTCAGCTCTGCGTGCTCTTTGTGGCCTTGGGCCAGTCCCCTAACCTTTCTGCCTCCTTCCTATGCAAAATGAGAAGAGTTAAATTAACCCACTTCACAGAGGTGGCGTAATGACTAATTGGCTAAAATTTGTAGCGCTGGGGAGGGAGCGAGCTGTCTCTTAACTCCAGTGTCTTTGGCTGGCTGAATAATTTAATGTATTTTTAAAAGTGGAGTTTGTCTCCCTCTCTCAGGATAGGGTGGCTCTGCCACTACAAAGCAGAATGTCATTTGATGTGAAGTGGCTGGGCTAATAAAACCTGGGTTTTACTTTACTGCCTCTAACAACAGGATTGCACTTGCATGTAGCTGGAGCCAGCATTAAGGCTGTAGTTTAGATTTTGCTTGAAAGCAAAAAGTCTGAGGTACCCAGAGCTTTTCCAGGCTCTTGATACATGAAGAATGTGGTTATGTAGTGACGAAGGCGCTCTTGTCAGTGCACGTCTGAAACTCGCTGGCAAAATGTGTGCGTTATTCCCCTTTGGTACCAGTGAAGTTAAAGGATAACTGCCTGTTACTCCTGTCGGCTGCTCTGTTGGGTGATAATCCTCAAAGGTGTATGGGCAGCTCGAACTCCGATGCTTCCTAGTGTTTGTGTACTTAACATTGCAAATTTGAATTTAATAATATTTGCGTATGTAATGCATGGCATACGCAACCACAGCTTCTTAACAGACCGTTAACTCTGGTGCCTAATAATGGCATTACCACTGTCACCAGCACCCAGCCATTCGGCTTTTACAAAGAGATGCTTGAAGAAAAATGGATGATGCTATCTCACCTGATCTAAGACCTGTCGATGACAAGGGAGAGCTCCTGGGAGAAAGCACATGAAGCTTTCACCCTTGGCCCGAAGACGTGGAGTGCTGCCTTGCTGCAGGCGTGCCAGCCGGCTGCCGTGGGCTTGGGTCAGGCTCCTGAGGCGGGACGGAGGCACTCGGTGTTCCTTCAGACTCGGCTGTGAAGCAGAGCAAGGGTTTTTTTCCTCAGGAGAATAAAGCTGTTTTTTTCCCTCCCCCTTTCCCCACCACACCGACTTCTCAGGAGAAGGGGGTAGGAAGAAATAGCGTGGAGAGGCTTTTATTTTAACCAGGCTTTCTCTCTGAGCGTAACGCTTGCAAGAAGGGAAAAGAAATTACCTCATGTTTACTTTGAACGTTCAATTAGATAACAAGCGGGGCAGCTCCGAACCCTTCCCCGCCGGCTTTACGCCGTCCTCCGGCTTGCCCTCCACCGCCGGGGCTCCCACCGCGGCAGGTTGACGAGGCGGGAGAGCGGCAGGACGAAGCGGGCGGCGGGCGCTGCGCACCCGCGGCCGCCCGGCGGTTAAAAATAGAAGTGCTGAATCATGACTCCCGCCGGCAACTTCACCCGCCCGGCGGCGGCGGCAGCGGCGGCGGCGGCCCAGCGGTTACCGCTCCTGAGGGGAAGGAGAGGAGGATCGGGGTGGCGGCGGAGGGGACACACGGGGCAGCGAGGGTGCGGGGCTCAGCCCGCTGGGTGTGTGTGGGGGGGTGGGTGTGAGGGGAACGCGGACGCGCCGTTGCCCTGAGGGGGCGGCGCGCGCGCGCGTGTGTATGTGTGTCCGTCCGCGTGAGGCGCGGAGCGCACGCGGCGGCGGCGGCAGCGGCGGCGGCACTTGTCCTCTAATCGATTGCCGAGCGTGCTGAGCGGCCCTGCCGGCGCGGGCACCCGCCCCCCGCGCCCCCCCCATCCTCCTCCTCTCCTCCCTTCGCCCCCCCTTCCCAGTTCTTCACTCACCACCCCCCCACACCCCCCCCCCCCGCCTTTCGCTACGCCGCGGGGTGGCTGGGGCCGCGCGCGCGCGCGCGCTCCCTCTCCCCCCCCCCCCCCGCGGGGTTGCGCGCCGTGTCCGTGTCTGTGCGAGCGTGTCCGTGTGTCCGTGTCCGTCAGTGTGTGTGTGTGTGTGTGTGAGTGTGTGTGTGAGTGCGGGCGGGCGGGCGGCTGCCGCCGCCGCCGGATCGGTTTCTCGGGGTTTGACCAGCTGTCCCAGGCTAACCCTGCTCTCTGAAGATGGAGGAAGTAAAAACAGGATTACCCTTAGCTACAGCTCCACTGCCTTAGTTTCCATAGCCAACTGCCGTGCACAAACACACCTCCACTAGGCAGAGAGAGCCGACACTAATAAAAACACAAACAAAAGGGTGATGGAAGTGATTCACTGCCTGCGCGGCTGAGGTAAATCTGCGCTTGGCTTCTTTTTAATTCTTTTTTTTTTTTTTTTTTTTTTTTTTTCTTCTCTCCCTTCCCTTTCCCCCCCTCTACTCCCCTTCACCCCGGTCCTTCTTCCCCGGGTGGGGAGGACAGCTCCGTCCGGCGTGCGAGGGGGCGGCGGCGGGGCTCTGCGTGCTGTGCGGAGGGGGGTCCCCGAGCGAAGAACTGCGGTTGTGGCTGCATCTCCCGCACGGCGGTGGGGGGCTCCGGTGACTTGTTGCTGCTAGCCCCACAGGAAAAAAAAAAAAAAAAAAAAAAAAAAAAAGCGCGTCCGATTCTCTCTTTCCCCCCCCCTCCCCTTTCCAAACCCATCCCGAGCGGGGCGGCGGGGGGCGGTGTGCGTGTGCCGGGGGGCGGCGGGGCTCCCCCCGCTCCGTTAGCCAGCGCCGGCCCCAACTGCCATTTCCCTCAGCGCCCGCCGCCACCTGCGGGGCCCCGGGGGGCTGCGGCCTGAGGCGCCGCCGGCGGGGAGGGGAAGGGGGAAAGGGAGAAAATAAAATAAAATGAAAACCGAGGCAGGACTTCGATGACTTTTGACAGGCTGTGGGATGGGTGGGGAGAGGCAGGGAGGAGGCGCGGAGCCCGGTGTCGCCCAGGGCCGGAGCAGCGCTCCGGGGAAGTTGGCCTAGGTTTGCTGCGCGGGGTGTGAGTGCGGCTGCCGGCTCCCCCCCCCCCCCCCCCCATCCCTCCCCACATCCCCTCGCCCCATCCCTCCCCACATCCCCTCCTCTCCCCCCCGTTTTCGTGCCGATTCGTAACGAACCGGTGGATCAAGTTTTCCTCTCTCTCCTCTCTTTCTCTCTCTCTCCCCGCTGGTTAATCGCACTGCTGTAGCACCGGCTGACCTCCCTCCCTCTCCCTCTCTCTTTTTTTTTTTTTTTTTTTTTTTTTTTTTGTTCTTCATCTTCCTTCAAAGTATGTGCCATTCCTGAGCGAGTTTCCCCGCCGGCTCATCCCCGGGGCTGCCCGGCTCCCCGGCTCCGCATGCCCCACCTGTAAGTGCCGGGGGCGGGTTTCTTTCCCCTCTCCCTCTCCCCCCCCTCTTCTCTCTCTCTCCCCCCCCCCCCCTTTTAAAAATAATTTTTTAAACTTTCCCTATCTTGCTATGTCTTCAGCACGAGCAAAACTCTCTCCATTCGCTGTGGAGAGGGAGGCTTAGCAGCTGGGGTTTGCCATCACCAGCCTAAAAATGGTGACCAAACTTTTTTCTTTTTCCCCGACTCTTCCTCCTCCTCCCCCCCTTGAAGAAATAAAAAATAAAAATCAAACCATGTTTTAATTTCGGTTATGGATGTTTCTGTGATTCTTTTTGTCTTTCTTTCTCTTCCTCCTCCCTTCCTCCCCTTTCTTCCACTTCATTGGCTGGGATGATCTTTCCCTGTTGCTTCTGATGTTTCTTTCTTTTTCTCAGTGTGTGCCTGCCTACCTGGACTAGGGGGAAGATAAGGTAATTTTGAAGGGCTTGAGGAAGCGGCTTACCTGTTCTGAAAACTTTTTTTTTAGAGATTTCTTTTTAAGGTTCATGTGAAAATCAGTAATTGAAGAGAGTTTGGTAGCAGCTGGGCAGGTTGAAATTTAAGTGTTATGCGCTGAATGCCTTGGGAATTTGATCTGCTTTATACCAAAGAAGAGCACAGAGAAAAGTATTTATTTATTGGGGGAAAGGCGGCGGGGGGGAAGGAAAGCGGGTTAAGGGAGGGGGAGGGAAGTGGTTTTGGAGACAAGAAGTGAAGCTGCCTGTTTTCCAGTAAGTAATGGAGAAATTCCAGGAGCCAGGGCTAAATATACTTGGCGATCAATACAGAAATGGCTCATTGTGAATAATTTAGCTGCCTGGTGCAGTGAGAGTTTTGAAACTAAAGGCAAAAAAGAGGCCATGGAGGGAGAGAGGAAATAAAATTCTCCTCTGGTCATGTCAGATTCTTAACTTTTCCACTTAAAAGAACATAGTTATGATTATTGATCTTTTTTTTTTTTTTTTTTTTTTTTTTTTTTCCCCCCCTCAATATATATCAAATGATAGCTAGGGGGTGTCATTCTATACAGTTACTTGGGTTTCTGGAAAGTAATAGCTTGTTCTGTGTCAGCAAAGTGCTTCCAGAAACTTTAAGATTGCTTCACACCACAAAATGCATGATCTGGGATTATTAAGTGTGATGTTTGGCCCCATGCTGTGGCAGATAAATAGGGTTAGAGCGAACAGGTGCGTGTACAGGGGTGTGTGTGTGCGCGTACGGTGGTGTGAGACAAAGAGGTGTAGTCGCTTTCTCGAAGGGGAGCAGACACGGGAGGACTTTATTTTGTTTAGATCAGGATGGAGTCTCTCGGAGCGCGTGTGAAAAGAGCAATTGTTAATAGTATCCATCTCCTCAAAGTCTGTTCTGGCTGGGAGAGCTGATAATTGATAAAGCATTACCATCCCAGCTTGAACAAAACAAGTGGAAAGTCAGGGAAAAAAACTCTCAGAGCAGGTAAAAAAAAAAAATGCAAATAGGGGGACAGATGGGGGTACGGTCTGGCCAGGCTGATCCTAGTGCTGCCTGCCCAGGAGGCAGCTGAATTTCTCTACTCACATAATTTGCAGGAAGAGTTCAGTGTTTTGCAAATGAGCACATGCAGTACACTTGTGTGTTTCTCTAGGCAATGGTTGCAACAGCAGTAAAATGGGCAACTACTTTTGGCTTTAAGTAAGTTTAATCATTTAATGGTTGATACTGACAGGCATCTTTGAGGGTGTACTTTTCTGCCTTGCAGCACTGCACTTTGACTATGGAAGCAGAGGCTGCTGATGGATATATAACATGTAAGTAGTCATTTCATTTGATTATTCTGAATTACTTTTCCCACTATCCTTTCTATAATGCAGGCACCTGAAACTTTAGCTTCCTCATGTATGGGCTTTGCATTGAGATGATGCTGAATTAATAGCATTTAAAGATAAACTTTGTGTATGACTGAAAAATGCCTGGGGATGGGTGCATGGGCAAGTACCTCTAGGTTTGAATATTTGCTGAGGATGAATGAACTTTGCAAATGAGAGAGAGTTCATCTTCAGAAATCCAAATCTCAGCCAAAAACTTTTTCTGCCTTTTGCTATGCATTTATCCTGTTTTCTGTGTCAGGGTTTGTATAAGTGCTTTGTTTAACTGTCAGTTAACCCAGAGCTTTGGGGAGAAGGTCCGTACGGTGAAGTACTGTTTCAGTCTTCTCCTGCCCAGCCTGGATTCTCGGTGTCTGCAAATGGAAAAGTAATCCTAACTTCTCTTGAGACAAAGCAGCTGGGGCAAGGTTTGTCACAGATGTGTGTGTAGAAGACTGGTGACAGTAGGCTTGGGGGGGGAGCCTCTTAAAATCAGTCAGTCAGATGTTTACCTGTGGCCCCGAGAGTTCAGGTTTTGCAGGCTGTGGGAGACCCCCACTGATAAAGGAGGGAAGGGCGAAGGGAGCGAGCGAGTTGGACTTTTTAATTGTTGTGTTGCTCTCCTGAAGAAAGGGATGGAAACTTACGGGGGACTTGTTTTGTGAAAGCAGGTGACAATGAGCTTTCGCCCGAAAGGGAGCACTCCGGCATGGCCATTGACCTCACCTCCAGCACACCCAATGGGCAGCATACCTCCCCCAGTCACATGGCAAGCAGTAAGTCTCCTCTTAAACCTGTTTCTCTCTAGCAGTGGGTTTGGGTTAGTCTGGTCCTCTGGGTCTGTCCTCGGCTCGCTTACCAGGTCTTAACCACTGCTGTAGGCATTCGAGAGAAGGACAGGGTAGACCTATTATTTTTTTTTTTTTTTTTTTTGCTTTTCTCTTCTTTCTTGTTCATACTGGTGTCTCATCTAAACATGAACGGGATTACTAGTCTGAACTATCCCAAGGTGGCATTTGAGAGCTGGTCCTTACCTGTTCCAGGTAGGAAAACACTAGGCTTGACATGTGCTGGTTTTGTTTCACCAGGTATTGAGATCCAAATGGAAATTGTTGTTGTTGTTATTATTATTACTTACTGTGCTTCCCAAAACAGCTTGAAGTAGCTTTATTTGAAAACAAACACACTTTATTTACAGAAAGGCTTTACTCTGGCAAAAGTATGAAGTTAAAATATCTGGGCTTGGTGACAGGTTGTATTTTACTATTCCATATAGAAACTTCAGCATCCTATTCATTACTTCAGCTTTGCCTCGGCAAGTCCAAGAGTGGCTGGGGTAATTGGAAGTTTATGGCACTCGGTAGTTGACACTCTAACAAACTGAAAGGATTTTGTTTTAGAATGTCAAGGGAGAAATTGAGAAAATGTAGAGACATTTGGGAGCATACACAGAGTGTCAAGTGCTGATAATATTTTTATAATTAATTTCATGCTATGTTTTGGAGGTGGATAAATTTAGTTTACACACATTTCATAAAACCAACATCCTTTCTTTTCTGTGTGTGTGCCACAGCTCCTTTTACTGTTGGTTACAGTGTTACATCAAGATATTTACCTTAAAGTAACTCTGTACTTGTATTCAAAAATAATGTAACATGCTTTGCTTCCAATATACTTTCAGAGGGTTCCTCTCTATGTGATACTCATTTTCTTTCCAGCCTGTGTACTATAGATACATATTTGTTTTTTAACTGAGTGTTTGTACAAAAACCTACTGAAAACTGTGAAAGAAAAAGAGAGCTTTTAGGGTTGCTTGCTTTAAAATACACAGTGTATTGCCTTCTGAGTCTTTCTTACTGAGAGAAAGATGTTACTTGCCTTTAAGAATTCTTTTTTCCTCCTGCAAATTACGAGTAAAACGCAGTTTTTATGAGCCTTTAAAGCTGAGGGTTATTATGAAGATCTCCCAATTATATACATGTTGCTAGAGAATATGATTGCTAATACTCTGGACTGAACTTTATATGACAACCGATCATAATTCAGCATCTTTAGACAATTCCAATCCTGCTGCACTGGGATTCTGATATATTTTATTATGTTGTAAAAGTTTTACTACTCACTTTCTTCATTTTCTTTGTTTCCTTTTTATTAATGGGAAGCCTTCATTGGAAGGGAAAAAAAGCTGCCTGTTTTAAATCTTCTTTATAATCTAGACTAAAAACCAGAGTCAAATTAGGGAATAAAAAGATCTGGAATGAAGTCATGCAAAAATACTTTAACACATTCAATATTTTCCTGCTCATTGTGTTAACATTTTCAATGTTTTTAAAGCTTCATTAGTTCTTGCAACATACATGTATCTGCAGCCTTGGTGAAGATCTTATTTTTTTCAAATGTGTTTTGTGGTATCTCACAGGTGTCTCAACTGCTTTCATCACTGCTGCTCTGCATTAAGCATGTGCTGCTGTTGAAAAATCAGGGGCTCTGCCTGGGGTTCTTAAGCCAAGCAACACTTGAGCTTCTTAAATTTGTTGTAATTTATTTACTCTTTGCAGGCATGAGAATATTTTGCAGAGAGTTGGTTTGTTCTCTCTTAAGCATGGAAGGTATTGATTAGAGGTTGTCAGCTTTTGTGGCAGATGTTACGTTGGTTCATTTAAGTTTTTTGGCCAGATCTTGAATCTGGCATGTACAGGCTAAATTGCCAGGCTGTGCTTTAGAGCGTTCCACCTGTTTTGTGGGGCACAGGAAATCCTTTTAAAGGTTCAGTAACCCAGGGACCTGTGATCTCTCTTTTTTTTTTTTTTTTAATATTTTTTTTTTTTTTTAGGAGAGGTGGACGTGGTAAGTAGGAATGTCTATCTAAAATATTTTGTATGAATTAAGTAGCTCCTGTTGGATAGATCCATCATCCTTCATTGCAACTGGAGGAAGTGGCTGTGTTGTATTTCAGTATGGTTTAATTTCTAGTGGAGTCACTGGAGGCTGATTTACTGTTGGCCTGCCGTTACAGTGTAGCCCAGAGCATGTACTTCTGGCTGGGTAGGGTCTGCTAAGGGCGGAGGTGGTACATGGATCAGACCCCACATGTCTCACTCCTGGTTTTGTTGCCAATCATTACCAGAAGGCGGACGGCCCTATTTAGCTGTGCGCTCAGGATGTGCACCTGCAGGGCAGAGATCTAAGTTTTGACCTTTGTTCTTGCATTCCATTGAATCGTTTTGAACCATAGCTCTTAATTTAGCCTTAATTTGTGTCTGGCTCAAACAGAGAGAAAACCATAAGAAGCAAATTTCTTGGATTTGTACCGAAACGACTGATCAGTGCTCTCCCAGCAACAGTAAAATTATGTGCTAGGTAAAGAGTTTTCAATGTTCATTAGCCCCTGGCAATCCATGTTAGTAGGAGTTCTGGCTGGGCTACTCGTGTTTTCAGGTTCTATTCCAAAACATTTCACGTTAAGTATTTTGGCTTGTGTTGGAGAGTTGTCTACTGCATCCTTTAACCTATTAGCATTTTCAAGTATTTAGACGGTATGTATAGGTTATGGATGGGGCTGACACTCAATTTTCCTTGTGAATGAGATGATCCTGAAAGATAAATCACAGTAAATCTCCTGTCATGGCTAACTAATGATCTTACATATGCCTTACGGTATCTATCTGCCTTTAGCAGAATACTGTATGTACGTTGGCAGATGCTCTGTTCTGAAATACTTTATTGTAGTTTTATGTAAGCAAAGATTTAAAATACGTGTAAATAGTCAAACTGAATAGGTTGATAGATCATCTCGCTTTCCTCTACGGCAAGACAAATTAGTGCTATACCTGCTGAGTACGTAGGATATGTTTACATAGCCCCAAATCTGGAAGTCCAGGTTTTCTTCTGATCTGTAGGAAAGATCTTCCAAAGGCTAACACCCAGAGCTGGGCATTAACAGCCTGCTCAATTAATGTCGTGTTGGTACTAGAGCATTTCTGGCACGGCCTAAGCCTTCCCGTAGACCCCGCCGAGTTCAAGGGAGTCTGTCTTCTTGCTTTTGGCGTATGCTGGTCTGGGCTGGAAGTGACCAGGAACCTCCAAATAGGAACTGGCGTGCTAATTAAAGGTTGGTGGGGAATCCTTATAAAAGAGGCTTTAAAAAGAAATAGTTCCCAGTCACCTCCTCAAAATACCACACCGAGTTCTTACTATAGTTATTAGAGATTTTGGGTTTTTTTCCCTTGTAGATTAAAATGGATTTAGAAGAATGTGCCCTTTAGAAACTGCAGCGGCACAGTTGTTCGGTTAGTTGACTCGATGACTGCTTTGTATAGGAGGAAGGATACTCCTCTAAGACCGTTTGCCTGGTATCGTACAGAAGACAATAACAGTAGCTATTAGCATCTGACAGTCAGCGACAGAGGAAACTTCCTCTTAAATTGGAGACTTTACACTGGGTGTCCCAGATAACTTTATCTTTGCTTTCATAGACAAAAGGAGCCCTTACATGAAGCAGAGTCAGAACAATCATAAATATCAAACCCAACATCTGATGTTTGAAACTGATTAAAATTGTGGTACGCTTTCAAGATGTGTTTATCAGTAGCTTAAAGTGTTACTAAGTTATGGGAAATAATTTATTAAGAAAATAAGCCTTGTCAGCTGACTCTGTTACTGAGAATAATGAGGTGATTGCATTTTCTCCGTGGTGGGGAATGATCGCGCTGTCTGACAAGATAGCTATTGGGACAACAGGATTAAGTGCGAGTGATTTTCAGTGGCAGTATTTAAAGAGAACTCAGGCAAAGTCTTGTTATAATGTGGCAAATACTGCATTCCCAGTGATGAGGGTAAACTGGGGTGGACTATCAGTTGCACTCTTTTATTTGTAACTTCAAAGCCCCAGATTTTTCTTGATTACTTTCGGTTTTTAACCTTATGTTGTCACATGGGCCCTGTTTTGTCACAGTTATGTTGACCGGAGCAGAAAGTTTCATGTACCACAGCTGTATCAGGACCACATCTGTATGAATGAAGAAACACAACTGTGGAGCCTGCCTTTTGGAATGAAACTGCATAAAATTAGAGGTTGCTTCATGCCTTGGCTACGCAACAAGCAAGTCTTGCTATCGCCAGAGTCTACTGCCCAGGCACGTGAGGCTGGACCTTGTGCTGGGATTCTTTTTGGCTCAGTATGTGTTTTTTTCAGGAGCATGGGGAAATGGAGGCTGAGCCTCTACAGGATGCTTTTCTTCAGAGAGGGTGGATGAAGCTGTCGGGGCTGGGGTGCATTGGGGGAACTGAATTAGTGCTTTGAGGCAGTCACTCCCCTGACAGGTGCACGAGGGCATGAAGAATTCTGGCAGCCAAACTGCTGTGCTCTGAAGTGGAGATTCAGGTCTCCAGTTCTTGCAAGTATCTCGGAAAGTGTGAAACACTGCATATGGTGCTAAAAACTTGGACTGGATAACCTCGAGATGCCGAGGAACCTCTTTCCTCAGTGGCTTTTAAGGAGTAGGGTAGGCAACATTTATTGGTCTGGGTATCTTTGATCCTGCCTCAGTGCAGAGAGGTGGGCTTTTGACAGCCACCTGACATGTCCTCCAGTCCTCTGTGTCTGACTTTCCAACCTTGACAGCCTGATGTGGCTGTGGAATTTCATGATGATGCCCGATACAGATATACCTGTGGTTTTACAGGTTGGAGGGCAGTGAAGGTGCACTATGCCAAGGTGAGCTTAGGTATAAGGGAGGGATGAGCTCAAAGTGTGGCACGGAACTGGAAGAAGCGA